GGGACTCCTGGCCCTACTACTAGGAGCAAGAAGCTACTAGGAGCAAAGACGCTACCAGGGGCTCCTGGCATCGATCGCGGCGACAGTTTAAGGCCGTTAAGTGCAAAAGCGGCCTCGCGCGACAGCACTGTTCGGCGCGCGCGCGCGCATCGCGGTTCGCCTGCGGGTCCGTCGCCCGTGCTGCAGCTTCTTCAGCTGCTTCGATGGCTTTCTCCTTGTCGTACTCCTCAGGGATATAACCAAACGTCTGGGGTAGGTACCACAAGCCTCTGGGATCCCACCACTGGGACCTGCCGTGAGATGTGGAGATCTTTTGCGGACCAGGGGGCAAAGGCCTGACGTGGAGGTCAATGGACCATTTCTTCAAGACAAAGCACAGGCATGAGATCTCGAGCTCAGCTCCAAATGTATGAGGGCCCTACCGATGGCTCACCCAAAAAGGAAGGGATGGTCTCCAAAAACCATATAACCATCCTTATAACATCTTATAACCATCCTTAAGCCACCTCAAACTTGCAGGTCCCTGGCCCATTTTTGACTCACTACTACTTCCGTTCAAAGGCCCCGCCCGCGCCGAGTTCCTCTTGTTCTTCTGCACTCACCTCCTGCACGCCGAAGCCCATGGCGTGGACGGCTCGGCCGCGCGCCCGGCGCCCACGCCTGGACCAGGCACCCATGGCGGGCAGCACCACCCAGGTCGCCCATGGCGTCGCCCATGGCGTCGTCCAGGTGCTCCCAGGCGACGACACGGCGTGAGCCGCGCACGAGGGAGGCGCCAAGCCGTGAGCCACGCAAGCGGGCGAGGTGGCGGGGGCCACGTTGAACATGAGGAGATGCTATAGGATTTCTTGAGAGGGAAACAGCTGGCCTGAAGTGCGGTGAGTGAGAGAGAGAGAGAGAGAGCCGGCCTGAAGTTGCTCTCCAAGAAAAACCACTGTTGCTGGAATCAGACATGTTTCAGGGAGCAACTTGGATGCATTTTTGGTGGCAGCTTGTGGCTCCAAACGCTAAAAAAGGTAGATCTGCTGTTGAATCTTCCCTCCATACACAGCCTCGAATCAACACCATCATTAACGCTCGAAAATCAACACTTTTGGACATATACCCTAGCTATAAAAGATAGACCTCTCTTGTCCGCCCATGGATCTTCTTAAAATGTCTCCCCCAACAAAAAAGAGCCTTACAAACACATGGACGGCCAACTGGCGAGGACAAGCTCCGCCTCTGGCTCAGCCCCCGGACACCCAGCTGCCGGGAGCGCATCCAGGCGAACAAGCGCCGCGCGAGGTCCTCGGCCGTGGGCCGTCGCCCGCGTGTGTTCGCCACCGGGGCGACCAGCGGAGAGCTTTTTTGTGGGGTCCAGAGCTGCCCTGGGACAGTGATGGGCAGTGGGTTGATGCTCTTATTGATCTCGCTTCTGCGACATAAAGAACCTGTGAACACTGTCACTCACTTCATGACATATAGTTGAAAAGAGTCTAGTCCAGGACCATCTGTACCTGAAGAATGGCCGTTCGTGACAAGAAGCTTTAATGAAGCATGCAACCAAATTTTGGGTTAGTTTGTGATAGGTAATCATCCATGAACAAGCATGCAAAACGTCTCCTGGAAACAAGCCCTTATTGTCGGGGCCGGAGAATGCTGCGGACCGCGCATTTCTGAACTACAAGGAGCAGCTCTAGACTCTAGGGTGGACTGGTGCTTAGAAGGGAATGAGGAATGGATCCAAAGGAATTCATCCCTAGGGCCCTGGGAACCCACAATCCTCTGAAAGGGTGATTGGAGACACAAGAATATATCATAGGCTTGCAGTGCGCAAGTACGTACCTTTTGAGGTGGCGTGTTTGAAAACCCATTCTTCAGGTATCAATCTTCAAATATTCGACCCATCGACCCATCTTCCCTGCGACCCCGCTGCGACACGCAACGCCCCACATCGAGCACAAGCCGCTGCCTCAGAACGATACGACGCGGTGGATCAGGGTGATCCTCTTGGTTGCAGATGGGGCAATCCTGCGGTTCATCATTAATCAATCATATTATTCAATCACTTGTAATACAGACTTCTGTTTAAGTCTACTTATCTTAGGTTCATCTCAGCCATCATCGGAATCATCGGCCATCTAATCTACGAGTACCTGCACTAGCTGCAAAGCTTCGCTGGGCTCGCAGCCAGCAAGCTCAAAGACAGATCATGCGGTGCCGGCCTCAACCATTCTGCAAAGCGCTGTCTGCCACCATAGAACACGTTTCAGAGGCATGTTTTATAAAGCCTTTGGCCCCAATGGTTCTGCGCAACATGTTTGTAAAGCGTCATGGCCAGCATAAAGAGACATAAAAGTATCCTTCTGTTTTGGGACAGCATGGGGCAGCGGTTGCTGTACAGGGTGAACATGTGAAAATCCCAGGGCTAGATCTCTTTCTTGCTCTGCCAGGACTGGGTTCCAAGACATCTCGACTCGGTGATCATCTCCGGTCTTGTGCAGCATGGCCAGGCCTAACGAGGGTCATGGGAAGCCATGCTTGACTGTTTGACCGTGGGGCTTCCTCAGCCCCCCAAAGCTTTTAGATTCATCAACGCAGCCTCAGCCCCGCGCACAAATCCATCTTGGCCCACTGCAAAGCTGAACACTCTGGACCTTGCTGTCTGGTGGCGGCCAAGAGGGCAAAGGCAAATCGAAAGCAGTTTTGAATTCGACCCCCCCGAAAGACTGCTAGAAGTTCAAATCCATTCAAAACCCAGGGGTGTGTGTGTCTGGGCTGGTTGCCCAAGTCTTAATTTCAGACGTAAGTTCTGAGGGAGACAATGCATTCCCGTTGTTAGAGTCTCGGGGCAAAGCAGGGGTGTTCAAGAAGAGTCTGGGCCCCCGACGGTCAGGCAGGTAGGCGGCCCAGGTCAAGAGCCAGCAATGCTGTACAAACCATTGGAGTGGCGCCTGAGTTGGATCAGCGATTTGATGCGTTTTGCATTGAGAAACACAAGAAACGCTTAAGAATGATGGACCTGAAACGAAAATCACACTGAAGTAGATCATGGGCACACCGCAGGTTTGCAGTGCTACGATTTCTGAATTTCTGGGTTGGTACATTGGCTCTGCGCAGGGAAATTGTGACTTGCCTAAAATCAAGTAACTGTAATAATAAAATATATAGTCAGAAATACAAAAATTAAGATAATTAAGAAATCACATGAATATACATGAATTGAAACAAGATCGACGCAAACAACTGAAGTCTATGGTGTTTGATGGTGTTTGATAACTAATCTTTTGTTCTAGCTCACTTGCATCCACAACACTATCCACAACCCCATCTTCAGGTTCCCGCTTTCCACTAGGCTCACTAAGGTCTGCGCAGTTTGCTGGGGATGCAAGGGGTCTTTGGCGAGAATCCTCGACCTCGGAGAACCAATGTTAGGACGACGGCCCAACATTGATTTTCTATACCGAAACGTCGTGGGAACTCACTTCAGTTCTTCTTGGAGATTTCTTGAACTCATGCCTCTCTGATACCACATACCTCATGCCTCACTCAAAGCCCTTGGATGAATGGGATGTGTCTTTGGATGGCATTTGACCGATGGAGTACCAGCGAGTAGCATTTGGTCATGAATGATGAACAAACTTCAGGTGATAGCCATGACGGGTTCAGTAATCGAACACTCAGGAACTGCCCAAGGAGTTCCTCCCAACAGGCGCCGCCCGAACTCTGCCCCTCCACCACCAACTCCAGGCCGAACAAGCGGCTCGGGCCCTCTTTTTGGGGGGCTCCAACTGTGAATCACGAGGCTCGGAATCCCGCGCCGGGATGGACACGGTAGGCCTTGGAACGCGGCCGCCAGACCCCTGGTAAGGAATGAACCGAAAGGAAAACTCGAATCCTGCAAACAGAACTGCAGGTTTCTGATGTGAAACACATGGATGTCAATTAAGAAATCGAAAAGAGATGACTCAATGACCCCAGATATTGATTATGAGAAACTTGGCATGTCTGGGAGTTGCTGCAAGAATCGATTTTACATCAGAGTAAAAAAAGAGTTTTGCGCCAACTGCCGACAGACTTGATTTTTGCAATTGGGCCACGGTCTGGTCACGTGAACCAGTTGCACACAAAGGCAACGTTTGATTCTGAGCCGTGGCTGTGGGCGTCAGGTGCTTCCAGTGCTACCCAGGAACCCTAACCCATACCCAGGCTCTAAAATCTGCTCATCAGACTGCAATGGATGCTGGGAAACAATGCCACAGGCAGTATCACATCAGCAAATTATGTTCAATCATGTCAAGAACATGTCAGTTGCCGGTGTTTGTGAATGCTCGCAGCGGTCCCACACAAATACTGAGGAATGAAAGGAGCAATTGCATTGCATCATAGTTCGCATCCATTGGCAAAAAGGTGATCTACCTCAAGCTACAGTACTTGTGCACATTATTGCCCCTGCTGGACAGCCCGTCTCACAGGTTGAACTGGCAGACCGCCACTGGCGAAGGCGACCACTTGTGCCCGTTGTTGCACGCTGTTTATGTAGTGGTTGAGGTTCTGACTCCTCTCTGTTGGCTCCTTGACCTTTGGCCAGCTTGAAGACCTCGTCAAGACGCTTCCCGCGGCATCGCCATCTTGAGCGCCAACGCGGCATTGCCCTGCTGCGGCCATCCCGAAGAATATTAGAAAGTCGGAAATTTCTCCCCTTCTCACTTTTTGAGCCATGCTGCCACACAAGTGCAGCTCCGAAGTGCGGCAACCAGCTCTAAAACAGCTCCTTGAAACACCAGCTCCGCCCCTATGGCCCTATGGTTGATGTTCTATCCATCCGGTCATTTGGGACAATCGGATAACCAATGTCAATCACCACTCATTGAACATGAGCCACAAGGAAAACTCGAATCCTGCAATCAGAAACTGCAGACATGTACTGCAAAACGAGACTTCTGATATGAGAAACTTGGCATGTCTGGGAGCCCTATGTTGCTGCAAGAATCGATTTTGCCTCAGTAAAGAGTTTTGCGCGAACCGCCGACAGACTTGCTTTTTGCAATTGGGCCACGGTCTGGTCACGTGAGCCATTTGCACACGAAGGCAACGTTTGATTCTGAGCCGTGGCTGTGGGCGTCAGGTGCTTCCAGTGCTACCAGGAGGCCTAACCCATACCCAGGCTCTAAAATCTGCTCATCAGACTGCAATGGATGCTGGGAAACAATGCCACAGGCGGCAAAATATGTTCAAACATGTCAAGAACATGTGTTTGTGAATGCTCGCAGCGGTCCCACACAAATACTGAGGAATGAAAGGAGCAATTGCATTGCATCATAGTTCGCATCCATTGGCAAAAAGGTGATCTACCTCAAGCTACAGTACTTGTGCACATTATTGCCCCTGCTGGACAGCCCGTCTCACAGGTTGAACTGGCAGACCGCCACTGGCGAAGGCGACCACTTGTGAAAGTTGTTGTACGCTGTTCATGTAGTGGTTGAGGTTCTGACTCCTCTCTGTTGGCTCCTTGACCTTTGGCCAGCTTGAAGACCTCGTCAAGACGCTTCCTGCGGCATCGCCATCTTGAGCGCCAACGTGGCCTTGCCCTGCTGCGGCCATCCCGAAGAATATTAGAAAGTCGGAAATTTCTCCCTTCTCACTTTTTGAGCCATGCTGCCACACAAGTGCAGCTCCGAAGTGCGGCAACCAGCTCTAAAACAGCACCTTGAAACACCAGCTTCGCCCCTATGGCCCTATGGTTGATGTTCTATCCATCCGGTCATTTGGGACAATCGGACAAGGTCAATCACCAAGTGTCTGACTCTGACCCCTCATTGCAAAAACCAAAGCTTGCAAAGAAAAGGTAGCAGTCCCAAGGCCCGGACAACATGGCCTAGCAGCGCACGAGATCGAGTCGAACAAGCCCGCAGATCTGCTCCGGTGTAGACACCAAAGCTTGGAGTTCAACTGGCCCAAGACTTCTTGGCCATTTGAGGAATTTATATATTCGCATATGTTATTCATTGGTCTATTGAAGTCATTCATCACTTGAGGTACTCCAAGATCTCCAAGGTCCTTCTTGCCCCCCGTTTCCATCACTCACGCCCTCACAATCTGGAGGAAAGAAAAGGACGCGGCGAATTCTCCGGAGACTTCTCCGGTGGAAGGCGTTTCTATACGTGTCCGGCGACGCGTGTCACCAGAGATTGGTCTACTTCGTCGAGTGTCCAAAGAACTGTGGAGAGGCGCTGGGCAGAAATCGCTGCGAAGCGGAGGTTGTGAGACAGATTGAAGGAAGGTGAGAAGCAAACAGAAATTGTCAATAAGATAAACAGCAACATCAATTGAACCTTCGAATGAAACAACATCTTCATGTTATTCCTTTCACAAACACACTCATCATCACTTCGTGGTTTGCTTCCCGGGTGACGCGGCCTGGAGGTTTGGGAGTGGCCGCGGCGTGTAGAGGCGGCTCCTCAGGTTCGACAGAACTCCAGGGTCTCAAGAAGAGGTACCCAGTGGAGTCGACAGTCATCGTATTTTGTGTTATACACATACACACACACACACATATATATATATATATACACATCACTTACTTCACATCACCTGAATAACTATAAACATGTAACAAAATATTATAGTACATACATATACGACTATAATATAATGGACATACATATACAAACATACGATGGCGAAGCCTGGACAGTGGTACAGTAACCACATGAAAACAACGGCGGCTCCGTCTGTTCGTCATGTATCGTTGGCGCTGTGGATCGGCATCACCTCAGGTCCCGGCTCGTCTAAACGCCAATCAGCACCTGCCAGCGGCAAAGCGGTCGGATCAAACTGACCATCCCCCAAAAGTACCACAAAAGCCCAAAAGTCCAGAGCCTAGCTAAGCCAAGCCAAACATCTAGCTGTGAGGAAACAGCCAAGTTGGGAGCGCGCATGAGTTGCAATGACCTGAAAGAATTCTGAATTCAGCCACCGCAAAGCTACTCATGCCTCTTCTTGAGGGGTGCTACTTTGGTCATCTTTGGTCTTCTTTGAAGCGGACTGAACTGTTGGGATGTTTGTTCCACAACCCGTGGTGCGATGGTGAACCACGGCATGTTCCGGCATGTTCCGCATCTGCTGCAAGCAGCGGCCAGCTGCGCAGGCCAGCTGCTTGGCCAAACAACCGATCCCCGTTGCGATCTTATTGTTGAAGTGCTTGTTCATCCCACTGCGTCGTGAGCTGTTGGCGTGCCTGTGGAGAAATCACCCGTGGCCCCAGGCACCTGCAGGACAGGCTGAAACCTTTTGGAACAATCCCAGGCATGCGGCAAAACCCTGGGCTGGGGAGATGCTACAATGCTCGCTCGCAAAGCCACATCTTCATTCTTCTTGGCTGAAGGGCTGAGCTCATCACATCCGAGGGTGGCGGGTCTGGGACTCTGTAGTGGCCTGGCACTCCACATCTGAGCATCTTCGGAAGATGGGCGGGAGAATGACTGGTTTGGCGCAAGAATGGTTGCTATTGTTCCTTTCATTATTCCATATTATTCCCATATTTATCCATATGTTCCTTCTACTTCAACCTAATAGCAATGGCCTCCAACCTACTTGCCCAAACCCAACTAGATTCCTAGATGCTGCTAGTCTCCAACTCACCCCCCCTCACACAAAAATCACTTCGGGCCCGACCAAATTTGTACGTCTATGCTTTGGTGAGAAAAGCCCAAACAAAGCTTCCACGGTGTGTTGCGGATACGGTCTTGGTTGTCACTACAGTTATATGCGTGCCATTGTCTGTCGTGTTTGTCCTGGTGTGTTGTCAAGTATAATGTGTCTTGTGGTTAGGCTTAGTGCTGCTACTGTGTGTGGGTGTGTTTGTGTCATTGCCTCTTGTCTGCTGTCGTGTCTGCTGTCATGTCTAGCCTGTAACAATAATGGTTACATTTTTGTTACATTAAACTGTCCGGTGGGGAAAAACTGTTCACAAGCCATTCACTTGCAGTGGTGTTTTTGTCTGAAGCTGTCCTTGCAGTCAGCCAATATATGCTATATTATGTGTTTTATGTTGAAAGAACAAAACAATAATCATAACAAACATTGACTAACTGTCTGTCCTCATTATATTGGGTATACAGTATCCTACTCAAGTAAAAGTCCACCTCTATGCTATCGTTTGCTCGCATTTTGAGCACCTCCTTCTTGCATCCGCGCGGAGAAGTCCAGGCTCAAGAAGGGCGTCGCCTGAGAGACAAATGTTTCGCATGGTTTCTGGATGTTTCTAGGGACTTTTCAGGGCAGGAACTTCTACACCTAAAGGGGACCCTTCGCAGTCCACTTAGCAGCATGCGTGGAAAACAAACTGCTCAGCTCAGAAAAGCACTACCTTGCTTTCTAGCCATGTGCAAGAAACTCTGGTACTGTCGTTGCGGCAGGACTTCATCCAATGGATAGTCTGATAGTCCAAGCCCAACCCTGCTCCGGGTCATGCTGTTATATCCCTTGTCAGTAGTGTGCCTATAGGAGACGCCTCAACATGATTCTCTAGCCACGTGTTCTCACCTTCTGTCCTCTTCCAGGTCTAAGATCTCAGTCTCAACACCCACACGGGCACTTTCAATCTAGCAGGACCAACCCCCCACTATGACCTGGCAGGACTCCCCACCCACTTGTTGAGCGTGAAGGTCTTCCGATTCAACTTCTGCGCCTCAGCCGAAGGTCAACCGGAATCCGGCTTGGAAGCTGTTGAAACAAGGCTCTCTCATGCATCACCAAGGACGTTGCTCAAATTCCCAACCGTTCCCCCACTTACGTTTCACAAGGTTCAATCACCAGCCAAGTCAACCAAGTCAAACAATGGAGGCATTTGCTATGGGAACCTGTCTTGTTTTCCCTCATGCTAAGCCTTAAGCAAACACTAAAATGCCGGTGGTCGGTGTGGATGTCGTTATCAGGTTATTGAAACAAGTGGTGTCAACAATGGTCAGCACGTTCAGCTCATAAGTCGCCTCCCAAGTTCCTCAACTCCAAAGTCCGACAGTCAACATCTCTTGGTGGAACCTCTCCAACGCCTCCCTGGGCATCCCCAACAATCACCTCGTCGAACAACAGCACCTCGGTGGAATCCTCTCTGGATCGGTCTAAGCGCCGACCTGATCGCCGGCGGCCAGGGACTGGGCACGTGATTCACCACGTGAAAGCACCAAGCATGAAGGTTGTGTCACTGGAACTGGGGGGAGAGGGACCCTGAACCAAGAAGAGGTTTTTGGCCGGTTTTGCATCTGATGTCGCATGCCCTTTGCATCTGACGGCGAACGAACAAGGATGGCAGAACACCGAACCAAGAGGTCTTGGAGGGTTTGGGTCTATCTTGATCTATATTTGCTCTTCCAGGGAGTCTTTAGAGCCGTTTATGAGTGCAGAGAAGATATGCTCCAGGGACTGCCCCCCGGGGAGACCAATCACGTCCGGCACCATTTTTTTAAGGACAGATGATCGGCCTCTTCGCTGCTATGATGGGGCTAAAAGAAAACAACGATTAGAGATGGGCAGTGTTACAACTGCTATATACTATATACACTGTTACACCATGTTACACCCTCAAAGATTAACATGGAACCTGAGAATGGACCTTTGGAAGACTATTTGCCTTTACTAACCCAGTGGCTTTGGGGTTCCATGTGGTCCTCTGCAGGGGAGTAACTGTTACTTGCATGTGGCGTTGAACAATCTCAAAGGAGGTCAACATCACCGTCACCCTCTTCGATACTGCTTGATCTTCAAGACTCTTCAAAGCTCCAGGCCTCTCCCAAGGAGGTTCAGTAGATCCCCCTCCGCACGGTCTCCGGGACACCGCGCTGATCCAGCTGGCCCACATTTGCGTCGAGGTCATCTCTTTCAAGAAGGGTCGTTCGGTGTCGGAGCATCGGGACAGGAAGCCCTGCTGATCAAAGCCTAGGGGCTCGGCGGGCGCTGTCGGCGTCGTGCTGTCTGCAGTTTGGCAGTGGGCACTAAGACCCCGCGGGAGAATAGTTGAGACAATGGTTTTGGATGGTGTTGAGACTGGTGGAAGTGACGCCTCACCAAGGGCAATCTCTGGCACACGCCTCTTACCGCTTTTTGGTACTCATGTGGCCTTTAGCATCCTGTAGATACCTACCAAGGACTCATTGGAGGATGTTGGTGGTTGCTTTGCGAACGGAAAGGCTGGATAGACTTGCACTGTTCACTGAGTTTAGGTCACCATATTCCAAGCTTGAATTATATATAAACTTGTTTCTGTGAGTGACTCCATCATTCTGAATTGCATACCCGTTTTGGATCACCAATAAATAGAATAGATACAAATAGCATCCTTTCCTGTCTCGCAAATAGACAGCAACAGATATATACAAATAGGTTTTTTGTTCCAAGTTTGCCCAGCCTTCCACTCCCCACCCTGCCTCCATCAAAGCGCTCGTTTGTGAAGCGGCTGTGCTCGATCAGGAGATCAGTCATGAACCTGGCAAGATGAGAAATGATGACAAAAACTGAAGTCCTTCACAACCCGTGTATGGAGGTTCTGCTCAAGTACACCGGAAGAGAAACCACCCTTGAACGATCTCTAGTGTCATGCTTTCAATGTCTAAGTTGGTCCAAGTTGCGGATACGTCAAGTTTCTCACATGCTATCCAAACTACTGGCGCGGCATCTTGATGAAATTTACTATGAAACTTGTTGGTCCAAGTGGCAAAGCCTGAGCCTTGATCTAGGGGAAATCTCTTCGCAACATGGGGTCGGATGTAAGACCTGTGCCGATCAAGTACCACACGTCCCAACCGCTGGAAACAAGCCAAGGTTGCCAAAGGAAGGCCATTCCTCAGAGCATCGGAACACATCACTATTGGAAAGTGGATGGCGCTGACCCGAGGAAGATGTTTTTATGTGTTGAACTCTTTGCCCCTTTTCCAACGGGTCTCACCGACCTGGGCTGAAGGGTGTCGACATTGCCCTCGTTCCCAGTTCTGAGAATTTGCCGCGCTGTGCCGACACTTATCAGGCCACATGTCCAACATCATGTTGGGGTGAGAATCAAACAAGGGCACGAAGCAAGTCACGAAGACAGGGCATGTTGAACTCATTCCACCGAAGACAGGTCCACACATCACCCCATCGCCGCATCGCCATCCGACCGTCACGAGGCTTCAGGGGCATCGACAACACCAAACCGTTCGATGCGTGTGGAAGTTCAATGATTTTTTTTTGGCGTGCCTATTCCCCAAACAGTGTGGGCACACTGAGGGGTTCTTACGGTAGTGGAAAGGCAGCTGATGCTTAGATCGCTGAAGCGCGCGGGCGTGTGCAGCTGATTCGCTGCTATTTACAGTGCATTCATGCCTCTCGACATCGTCCATGTGCATTTCGACTGCGCAGGCTCGCTGAATCTGGGTGTCCGCGGCAGGTGCTTCTAACGACTGCGCTCTCGTTGTGGTGCCGTGCACATTTTCGTACGTGGTGGCGACTTTTCGTGGCAGGGGCAAGGGAAACCTCGTGTTTTGGTGCTCCAAAGTCGACTTGTCGTGACAGGCGCAAGGGATCGGAGCTGTTTTACTTCGAAATGCAGTTTTCGTGGCAGGTGCAGCACTTCGGACATGTTGGTGATCCTCGAGGAGCTCAGATTTCGTGACAGGTGCGGTGAATCGTGACTTTTCGACATGTGGCTCATTTACAATTTTCGTGGCAGGCGCAGCACTCTGTGACCCTCGATGTGCAGATTTCGTGGCAGGTGCAGCACTTTGTGAACCTTGAAGTGCAGATTTCGTGACAGGTACAGCACTTTGTGAACCTCGAAGTGCAGATTTCGTGGCAGGCACAGGACTTTGTGAACCTCGAAGTGCAGATTTCGTGGCAGGCACAGCGCATGGTGAACCTCGAAGTGCAGATTTCGTGGCAGGCACGTGAACCTCGACGTGCAAATTTCGTAGCAGGCGCAGTACTTTGTGCTCTCAGATGCTCACTCTCTCACTCTCCCACTCGCACCCTCCCACTTTCACTCACACTCACACTCCCTCTCACACTCCCACTCTCACTCTCACTCACACTCGCAGCGCTCACACTCACTCACTCTCACTCACACTCATTCTCATCCACACTCACTCCCACTCACACTCACTCTCACTCACACTCGCACTCTCACACACTCACTCACTCACTCACTCACTCACTCTTCCACTCCCACTCACACTCCTCACTCCCACTCGCAGACTCTCACTCGCTCTCACTCACACTCGCACTCACACTCACACACACACTCACTCACTCACTCACTCACCCACTCTCACACTCACTCTCATTCTCACACACACTCGCACTCACTCACTCTCACCCAGACTCACTCGCACCCACCTTCACTCTCACTCACACTCACTCACACTCACGCTCACTCTCATTCACTCACTCTCACTCTCACTCTCACTCTCACTCCCACTCACTCTCCCACT